GTCATAATCGTGAAACCGTGATTATTCCTCAGACAATAATCGTACCAACAAAATCTATAATTGTTGCATCCCTATCAGTAACCAATTTGGTCACATCAGGATTGGCTCCAGAGCAAGTCCATTAATTCAGCTATAGGAAACAACTAGGGCTGAAAGATTTTGGAAAATAATCAAATTGCAATTTTTTTTTTACCAATATTGCGATTACGATTTAATATGCAAAATCACTTGAAACATTGAAAAATAGCATAGAGAGAATAACTTATTATTATTATTCTCTCTCTGTCATTTATTTATTTTTTGTGGGTTTCATGCTGTCCGCTAAGGCATACGACACACTCAATGACAAATGGTTGCTTTGTCACATCCAGTGTAGAGCTGTTGCGGTGCGACACGACAACTGTAGCGTCTGGTATAGACACAGTGAGCCTCTTCATATTTTCTGCATTTAGCTTTTGAATGACCAGCACCTGCCTGGGTCTGTGCCACTTCATCTATGGCTTTTCTCTTCCCTTTCACAAACCGATAAGTCTATTGCATTTTAAATTATGGGTGGAACTTACAGTTTGGAAGGAGTCCTGAAACAAAACATTTAAAATAATAAGGCTGCTAATCCTTATCTGTCAGTTTGACTGACTAAGCCGTACATTTTCTGAATACTTTATTTTTATCCATCAAAAAAAAAAAATTTAACTTGGTATTTTAATGCAACATTGTTATTACAAGAATATCTGTGACAAGAGCTCTTTTCAGTCCGATGCGTCATGTTCTTCTGATAATTTTCTTTTTCTTTTCAAATGTAACAATATGGAGAAGACAACAGATACTGCACTCTTGTGGTCTATTCTCCTGATTTAATAGACATGTTCCAAACTTGAAAGTTTCACTTAAATGCACTAGGAAAACACTTTTTTGTTTCTTCACAAGCCCTCACTCACACCTCTTTCCTGTTTTTTTTTCTACTCCCTGTTAGCAGTGTTTACTGGAATGTTTCTAAAACAGTGAAATACAATTTGATGTCTATCAGAATGGTGGAAAGCTCTTTGAAACATCCATCAATGTTTTTGAAAATGACGCAACATTTTTTTCATTCACACAGCATACAAGTATATTACATGATATAGACCTATTACTGCAGTTATAATGCTGTGGAAAGACTTGTTTGAACTTTTGGGGTTATTCATGGTCTGCTGAAAATTATTTGTCAGTGATTTCACATGTTTTCACATGTTTAAGGTTGTTTTTGTTGATTGATAGTTGAAGGGTGTGGAGACTGTCATCTAGTTTTCGCACACCGGACCTTTAAACAAGTTCACTGGCAGCATCTGAATGGTCACAGTTTAACAGAAGTTACTCCGATAGTTCACACAAAGCATTAGGTGTGTAAGGAAAAAGCATAAGGAAAAAGGCGGTTATGCTGCATGTAGGCACATTTAAGCATCACAAAGAAATCTGAACTACAATTCATGACAGAAACGCCTTTATGTCCTGCATTAACAGTTACATAAAGACTGAGCAGAGCACATTCAGTTTTCAGAGTTCAGATTCAGAGTCACATTCTGTCATGACATGACATTTAACATGCTATGTATGTGATATTTAACATCCTGTCTAACCTTACTTCAGCATACACAACTTCCTCATGTAATCACAGATCCCTCCCTGAGAAAGAGTCAACTAAAAGAAAACAGGTAACGTAAAATCTCGGTATTATGATCGAGTTCAGCAGGTGCATAACTATAAAAATCACACACCATTAGAGGCACTGAACAGGTTAAAATTTGAGATAGTTTTTTAAAACATTTTTCTCTCACATGAATCACACGTTCAGACTTTATATATATATATATATATATATACGCGTTAAAGTTTAACTTTCTCGAGATGTACCAAACATTATCTGAAACATCAAAGCTGCATTACAACACTATGTCCGCGGGAAAAAAAGTTAATCTCAACAAATCTTCTATTTAACAACAGTGCGCTGAAGTAAAACCTGTACATTTCTATTAAAACCTCGCACATTTCTTCAGGTTTCAGTACAGAAAAATATATATATACTATATACTTTTATATGAAAACGACATTTCTTTCTTCAGTTTTGCTCCATAGGGATTCAGGAACAATACGCGTCTCTTGCGAACCAAATCCTGAGGAATGCCTGAGCTGTCTTTCTAAGCTTCTCGTCATAGAAAATGTTTGTAAAACTTACTAGTTTCATTCAAAACTGCGTCCGTACAAAGTTGTGGGTGAAACCCTTGACAACGGGACCGTTAGCTTCAGTTACTGGTATCCTCGCGAGCTCCGGATTCTCCTCAGCACATAAATTACGGCGCGCGGGCAGTTCATTGCGCTCTGTGAGAATGCAGAGACGGGCTGGGGGAGGGGCGGCGCTATTACCTGCAGCCCCTGCCCTGCCCCCAAACACACACAGAATGGGGGCGGGGGAACTACTCAGCAGTACCCACCCTTGAAAAAAGATGAATTTATCCCATAAAATCTGTAGTTTTAGAGCTTTTACTTCATGCCTTTTATCTTGAAGGGTACATGCTAGTGTACACTTAAAATCACATTTAGCATATATTCCTAATAAAACACAAATGATGGACTATAACTTTTTGTCCAATCAAATGAGCTTCATAAGAATTTTCCTCCCACTCAGTGTTGGGGTAATGCATTACAAGTAACAAATTACTTAATCAGATTATGTTTTTTTCAAGTAAATAGTAATGTAATGGATTCATTTTTAATTTTTTCATAAAATGGGCTATCCGAGTTACTACTTCAAATAAGTAAAGCCAGTTACTTTGTTTCCCATGTATTGACTGACAGCTCTCCTGTCCCCAGGAGTAAGAGCAGAAGTGTTGTGTGCACCGTGTGAACATGACGTTACTGCAGTTCTAGACTAAATGTGAACATGCATTTAATCATTTCACTTGCACAAAAACAGGTTCACTATTCTTCAAAATCAATAAAAACAGTGAAATGCAAAATCAGAATATGATGCAAACCTGCAATTATTGAATATGTTAACACAAATATCCTTTATGTATTTAATCCCATAACCAACGTCTTTGCTGCTGACCTTTGATGATCCAGTTCAACCATACTAATATGTCTTCAGATAAACAAGAGTGTTGAACTTTCTTCTCCTGCGTTATACAGTTTAATTTACATTTCCTTCAGCCTCAGGCTTATTCATTTCACTTTTGTTGTCAAAGGGCTTTTATATTTGCAAAAAAAATTGATTTTTTTTTTAAACAAACAAACAAACAAGCCCTGCCCAGATTTTAATGCAAAAATAATGTAATGCATTACTTTTCATAAAAAGTAACTATTAGTTACTTTTTTAGGAAGTAACGCAATATTGTAATGTATTACTTTTAAAGGTGGCATAGAATGGAAAACTGTATTTACCTTGGCATAGTTGAATAATAACAGTTCTGTACATGGAAATGACCTACCGTGTAAATATCGTGCATGCAAAAGACCACTGAAAAATAGGCGAATCAGAACATAACACCGACTGTGACGTTACAGTCAGAATCACTAATAGTTACGCCCCCAACATTTGCATATCCCCGCCCATGTTCTATTCCAGCCGAACCTGCACAGCCGAATCATCAGAAGTTCTGCAGGTATTGTGAAGAAACAAGCGAGGATAATAGCGAAAATAGCAGATCATGGAAATAAACGTTATGTTCCAGGCTGTGCAGGGGATGTCATGTGCAGGGATGGGTTGGTGTCTGTATTCAGAAAGTCACGGAAAACAAATAATGCGTTCTAATAAAATAACGCGAGCCACTAAAGGGACATGTTAATTGCTTGCTAGCGGTAGCCTGTTACATTATAGTACATAATACATTATACTATAAAAATTATAGTTCTCTGCCTGTCTTTAAGTCCCTGCTAAAAACCTATCTGTTTTCCTTAGTGTATTGATTACTGTTATTCGGTAATTTTTTAATGGGTTGTTCATATTTTTTATTTGGCTTGCTTTCTGTGTATGTTTTTATAAATTTCTCTTCTGTAAAGCACTTTGGTCAGCCTAGCGGCTGCTGTAAATGTGCTATACAAATAAAATGATCTTGAACTTACATAAGATTTCACTTGCCACATAAACAGAGTAAGGAGAGATTTACAGATCCTGAGCACCACTGACAAGCATCTGATCTTGTAAAATGTGTGGTAAGTACTGCCGCTGTAGTTTACACAGATCACGTGCGATCGCAAAACTTGAAAGTGAAAGTAAAAAGCCATTGTGCATTCTAAAGCAGGTTCAATGCCCCGCATATTAATAGCGGCTCCCTGATGCCCACATTTTATATACAGTATAATTACCCAACAATATGACTGCGAGAGACAGTATTGAAATATATATTTTCCCTGTGTTTCCTTCCTGCTGTGTGAGCTACTGAAATGAGCCGCACTGTGAAACAGCCAATCAGAGCAGAGCTCAACATTGAGCAGCACTGTGAAACAGCCAATCAGAGCAGAGCTCAACATTATTATTCATGACCCTTCCAAATAAGGAAAAAACAGACCATTTCATTCTAGTGACAAATCCTAGGGTAGTAAATGGACATGTTTCTGGAGATTTTTTGCCCTTAACTAAGCCACATACCTTTTATGTAGATATCAGAGAACAATTTAAAATATTATCAATGCATTCTATGGCACCTTTAAAAGTAACTTTCCTCAACTGCTTCCATTATTATAAATCATGAGCAGCATCCAAAATCTCATACTTGACGTACTGAAGGTTTATGAATTATGCTGGTGTAGAGTATAAAGGGCCACCACACCAAAAATGATAGCTATAATGATAATCAGCGTCAAAGCATAATAATGTTCTGTTTATTAGACACCCACAGCAGTTCTGTCGTCTGCCACTTTAAATGCTCAAGCTCTTTAAAATCTGGTGGATTCTGATTGGCTGTCAATGTTTTTATCATTCCTCACGTTCCTCCTCCTCCTTATCATTATAGTTGTGGTGTAGACGTCCCTATTCTCATATAATTAGAACAATTATTAAAACGTTACAGTTTGATTGTAGTTATCGTTAAACTTATCGTGTATGTGATATAGCTGTCAAAAATCACTACATAGATATAGTATAATGCGTTTATCTCTATGATTCCTAGATAACATGACTTTGGCATTTAATGTGAGCCAGTTAAACTTTACCAAGTGTCACTTTAACAGTTTTAAGTTAAAGTGACACTAATAAAAAGACAAAATTATTTGAGAATAAAATAAGCATTTACACAACTTACTGAGAATGCAGACAAAGGAAGTTCTATACTCTTGGGGGGGAAAAAACTTTACTCTTCAAAGCCTAAAGCACCAAACACATCTTTCAAAACAGCAATTTTACAATCCCCAAACTGTTAACTGAATGACTGCTGATTGAATGAAAATAACATGGTGTTGGGCAAGTTACTTCCTCCACCCAGAGATAATTAACAGGGCCATAAGAACGGTTTAACCTGGAGAGCAGCCAGCAACTCCCATCAAGACTCATAATTAAAAACATATGACGAGTGGGAAGTGTCACAGATTGAGAAACTACTTATTACACATTAAATGTATTCACAACTGCTTAAAGGGATAGTTCACCCAAACATTCTGTCATAATTTACTCACCTTCATGTACAACATTTTCTGTGCACATAAAATATGATATTTTGAGAAATATCTCAGTGTTTTCCTCCATCCAATGGAAGTCAAAGGTCAAAGAGACAGTATTGAAATATATATTACCAACATATGATTACCAACGTTCTTCAAAACATAAACTTTTTTGTTCAACAGAAGAAAGAAAGTCATGCAGGTTTGAAACATGAGGGAAGGAAAATAATCATAATCAATAATCATTTTTGGGTAAACTATCCCTTTCTCATCAAGTTAATGCTAACCAAGTTATGCTGTAACTTGTTAACACAACAATTGTGGTCAAAACCAAAAATGTATGTACTGCACACCCAAATTTTCCATTAGCCTATCAGAGTATGCAGTGCTTTTTTCACAGAGAGCCAGTCTAAACTGATATAGTTGGTTTTCAGCGACCACACAAAGGAAGGAAGGGAAGGGAGGGCCAGTCCACACAGAACTTTACATTGGCAGATGTTAAAGGCTTTTCCTTCTGAAAAACAGACTGATGTGGTGACTGTAATGAACTTTTAATTATGAAAAAGATTTGACCACACCAAAGCATGCACATCAGAGGCCCATAAACCATGATGAAGGCAATTTCTGACATGCATGCATAGTATTTAATATACATTTTGTCTCAAACAATTTCACTAATCCTCTCACAACCTTGCCAGGGCACGTTGTAGAAAGTGGAATAACAGGATAGTGCCAAACATACAAATGGCATTTTGTGTTGTCAGTGATTTTTGGGTTGCTTGTGCTGAATAAACCAAACAGGTTCCACACCATTCCATTACCAAAAAGAAAGAAAAAGAAATTAGGTTACTGCACACATGATCACTGCATAGAAATGGAAATTAAACTAAAAGAATAATTAAACTGTAAAATACAATAAAAAAACTTCCTGTAGCTTCCAGTCTGCACAGAAATAAACAAACCCTGAGAGAATCAAACACAAACCACAACAACAAAAAAACACATTATGACTATGAGAGAAAACAGAAGATGGAGAAAATCCAACAATCCAACATAATCACTGGCAATATTTCACAGAAAATAACCTCCCCCAAAAATTATAATAATAAATGAAAAAGAAAAAAACAACAACATTTTAGTAGTGTCAATTTAAAGAAGGAAAAGCAATATAGTTTCCCACAATGGGCTATTCATTGAAAAGACAAAAGCTTGTGTTCAAAACAAAAGGTTTCATTCACAATACTTGCACTCCTAGTTCCGCACCACTAGCTTCCTCCCCCTGTCCCAAAGGCAAGACCAATTGTTTTCCTAGCTTCACAACTGCACTCATTAATGATGATTGTCCCCCCCATTATTGTCTCAGAAGAAGCATTTGTGTTAGGTTAGGGAATAATAGCAGACAAGACTCAAAATCGTTTGGTTACTCATACTATTTCCAACTCACACAACTAATTAACTTTTCTATCAGTAATGTTTTTGTTTTGTGTATGAATTTGATTTCTGATATCCAAAACCCTGAAATGGTCATATTGTGCAACAAATCATTATATATAATAAGATAACTATAGATCACACCATATTACATGCATTATATCAATCTAGCCTGTCTAAAATAAGCCAACATCTCCACAGCATTGCATCTCCACTGACAAATGGTGACAAGGCTATAGTAATGACCTAATGACAAAATCAATTCATTCTTATGAGAATAGTGTA